ATGCTCTGCGTCCAGTCCTCCATACTGGAGAAAAGAAACAGTGGCGACCGTCCAGCTGGTGGAGGCGCGGGTCCGGGAAGCTTCCTCTCTGCGCAGCGTTCCTCAGATCTAAGCGAGGAGTAGAAAATACTGGGACTCAGGGAGGGGAAGAGTTTCTCAGAATATGGAACAGCATTCTAGAAAACTCTAGAGAGGAGCTGATGACCTCAAACACAAGAGTATGTGTGCTGGCTCGAGGGCAGGGTGGGGGTGGGGCTGCCGGGGGAAGCTGCGGGGCTCCAGCCTGAGAGCCGCAGGCAACCTCCGAAAAGCCTTGCGGAGGTGGTGGCATGAACTGATTCTTCGTCCCTCTGTTCCTCTGTCCTTCTCTCCCCTTTCCCTCTACCCTCCGTCTCCCTCTCCCCCATTCCCTCCCCTCCTTCCCTCCCCCCATACTGGGGGATTGAATCCATGGCCTTTGCCCTGAACTACATCCCCACATCTCCACTCCTTTTTTAGTTTTTATTCGGAGACAGGGCCTCCAGAGTCACTAGGTGTCCAGGACGGGCTCAAACTTGTGAATCTCCTCTTTAGCTTCGTGTGCTGCCAGATTTACATTTTCGAATCTTCCCTGTGACTGCAGGCAGGGAACAGATCGGATATTTACTGTGTAGTAAGACAACACTTAAAACAACTTTCTTGAAATAAATGAATGAGTAAAACACCCGTCCCTATTTGAGAGTACAAAACCACAACAAAGGATCTTGCAACAAACCAGGTGTGAAAGGATGGCACCTTAGACTAGGTGATGAGCAGAGAAATGTAGAGAAGGGGACCAGTTTGAGTGGGGAGACTTAGAGCAGTTACTTACATAATAGAGACCCTCTGATTTATTTATTAGATGCCCTGTCTAAATCTAAACAATGTACATCCGTGTAAACCCCATTAGGCTTTCGAATGGAGGCACAGGATGCAGAGAAAGAAGTGGTCTCTGGTTCTTGTTCAGAGGCTGGGCAGGAGCCACACTGCCCGCCGTGAAGGACACCCCCTGCGCGGAAGGTGGCGAGTGTGTTGGTGCCTGGGCTGGTCACGCTCTGGAGCAGCATCTGGGGTCTCGGTGAGGGAATTACGTGTATGAACCTGACAGCAGAAGTGCATAACAACCCACAGCTGTGGCACTGAGAGCGCCAGTCCTATAACTTTAGATATCTGTGAAGGTGTCAAAGTTTTCCTCGGAGAATCCTGAGTAGACGTGAAGGCTGTCTGCAGTGCCCGCTGCCTGCAGTCATTAAGGATGGGTTTCTTGTTGCCTTCCCAAGGCCTAGGAGAAGATTCAGGGCTCCTCCCCGATCCAAGGGTCTGTTTATTAAATGTTTTGCAGTCCAAGTATAAGTGTGAAACCTAAAATGAATGCAAATTTAAGGGGATTTGCTGTATCCTGCTGGCCTCCATCTTTATTGAAATCTAATTGGGGTTTTAAAAGGCCTTTGAGAATATATTAGAATATTTTAGGTAATGAATAGGTTAGAAAGAGATACCAGTACTTTTTATGTAATACTTTTTGTCTGTGTGATACTAGTGATTGAACGCAAGGCCTTCCCGCTGAGCTATATCCTCAGCACTTTTTCATTTCAGACAGGGTCTCGCTAAGTTGCCCAAGCTGGGTTTGAACATGTGATCCTCCTGCTTCAGCTTCCTAAAGTGCTGATATTATAGATGTGTGCCCGGTTAAATATAATACTGCTAATCCAAAGATTCCTCAGAGAGAAATAGGAGTCTGTCTAATACCCAAGGCATTCTCCATCAAAAACATAGTTTTACTACTAAAAACATGGTATTTGTTATATAAATATCCAAGCATCCTGTGTGAATACACATTTATTCTCTTCAGTCCTGGAGGTCATGAATCCGAGTCATTTTCACTGGGCAGGAAGGCCTGGGCCAGGCTATGCTCCCTCCAGGAAGAGCCCAACTTCCTCCCTCCCTGACCTCCTGGAGCTGAGCTCCTCAGCTCTCGTTTTCTCCTCCATCTGCAAAGCCGAAGCTCATCGTCCGCCCCTCCGGCTATGCTCCTTTCGCTTGCATCTCGTAGCTTCCTCCTTTTCTGTGTCAAAGCTCCCTCTTCCTCTCTTGTAAGGACAGCTGGCGTTATGCGGGCCTCTCTAGACAATTCAGGACTAATTCCCCACCTCAAGACACGTTACCGCAGCCAGGCATTGCGGTACCTGCCTGTCCTCCCAGTACTGCGGGAGACTGAGGCAGGAGGATGGCGAGTGGTACTGTCCCGTTCCATTAGGCTGTGTGTGGAGGCTGACTTGACAAGTGGACCCTTAACACATAAAAATGATCACTTTAACCATTTTTAGGTGTAAACATAGCGGCATTAGGTAAAATTCACATTACTGTGCAGCCGTCATCATCATTCATCTCCGGAATGTTTTTTATCTTCTCAATATCAAAATTCTATACTCCAAAATGTAATAAATCCCTATTCTTCCCTCCCTCCGACCCTGGGAACCAGCATGCCACTGTCAGTCTCTATGAATTTATCTACTCTAGGTACTGCATAAAAGAATCACAGAGGTTTTTGTACTGGGGACAGACCCCAGGGCCTTTGCTCTGAGCCACATCTCCAGCCTTAAGTTATCAAGATGCCCAGACCAGGCTGGAACCTGTGGTCCTCCCGTACCAGCCTCCCAGGTTGCTGGCATGTGGTGTCATGCTCAGCAGGAAGCACACAATACTCATCCCATCTCACACTTTTGAATGATTGTTTTGCATTTGCAGATCTTAATGCAGCATCCTCAAATCATTCAATTTGGAATGGGCATACATGTGCCTGGTCCAGACAACATCTGACGTCAAAGTGAGACGCAACTGCAATAAGCACTAGCGTCCTTGGCCATTAGAGTTTGCAGGGATAGCAGCCAGCGTCAGCAGGAGGCTCTGACTCCTACCATCCCAGTAATGAGAAGGAATGTTAGAATTCCCTTTTGGAAAACAGGCCAGACGACAATGGCAGTGCTGTGTGTGGTAACATCTCCATGTTCCTTATACTGCGCTCTTGCTTGCCCTGTTAAAAGGGTTGGTTGGGACTGGGATTGGCCTACAGCACAGATGCAGAATTAATAACTGCAAAATTAGCAGGAATCATCCCAGTATTCCTCACACTTGGTAGAAGCGTGGAATAACTATCTAGATATGCACACGGAAACCTCTGGCAGCGGTTCTTCTAGTACGAGAAAAGATGGGAGCAGTTTTCTCACATTTTGACTAAGCTACAGTTGTGTGCTGTGTAGAGACAGGGATGTTTGGAGATCTACACTGTCAGGTAGTGTCGCTGTTTAAACGTTATGGGGTATTCTTATGCAAAGTAGGATGGCTACAGCATCGTACAAGGTGTGATCAAAACATACTGTGAATGTCTAAGTTTTTAAAAATTTATTATACTAACAGATACATTGCCATTAATCCCCCTCAAGGCACTGTCCTCAGCTTCAAATATACTTTATTGCTGTGTTTTTGCCACTTTCTGAAGCAGTTCTGGAAGTCCTCTTTTGTGAGTGTCTTTCTTTGCACTGCTATGGCTGCCTCAGTGTCCTAAATTGATTCAAAACATTTACCTTTCATGATCATTTTGGCTTTGAAGAAGAGACAGACTTGCATATTCCCTAACCTGGAAGATAAGGTGGCTGAAGATACACCATGATGCTTTTATTGGACAGAAATCACCATAAATGATTGATGAATGAGGGGTGGTTGTAAAATAAGGTGAATGTGTAAACTGAAAAGTTTATTACAGTAAAAGATACACTGTCATTAATCCTCAAAATATTTTTTCTTGATTCAAGCACACTAATCCCACCATTCTTGGCAATGTGTCCTTTACTGTAACATTTTATTTTTTAATTTAAGCATTCCCTGTACCTTTCTATACCTGTTCTAAGTGGAATAAGCCTGTGAGACATCATGGTAAGCAAGTATACTGAATGTGTTTGCCACCCTGCCTGGCTGGCCCCTTGCAACTGCTTTAAAAATTAATACTGGTAAATTACTTGAGATAGACCATCAAATTATAGATAATGTAAAAATAAAGAGTGAGTATCCATCAACTGATTAATCAGCTGTTCATTGATTCAAAAGTTCATTCATGCAAGCGCAAGGTCGTGAGTTCGGTTCCCGGTACAGGAGAAAAACCAAAAACCAAAAAAAACAAAAAACAAAAAAAACCAAAAGTTCATTCATCACGTACATAGTAGAGAATCAGAGGAGTGGGGAACAAGACCAGGTTGGAGAGGTGGCTGCAGTCATATCCATCTATTCATTCATCCATCTATTTATCTACCCAGCCATTTATGTGCTCCCTATGTCGAAAATCATTTGGGATAACTTCTGCAAACATAGAAAACAGGAAGGAACAAATAAAAAGAGGAGGGGAGACCACTTAGAAAAATAAAACTGGGAAGGGGTTGGCAAGCAAAATGGGTGTCATAGCACTTGTAAAGTTAGTGGCCTGAAAATTTAGTTCTGAATTTCCTAGCACTCCAAGCAGAGAGAGAAATAAGATCAGTTATGTGACCGACAGTGTCCAGCAGATGAAAACAAACTATTCTCTTAGAACAAGGATTGTCCTCTGTCCTAAGAGTTGAGAAAAACCTCTAGTGTCTGTAGTGGTTTTTATTGCGCTGATTTGGGAAAGTGGAACTGCGGTTCTCCGCATCCCCTTCCCTAGGTGGCTCTGGGTGGCACTGGCTGAAAGAGGAAAGAAGCGAAAGTAGATTTAGAGGACAGACGTGAATCAACAGATTTCACATTGTGGAGGCTGGCGAGTTAGATGTAGGGGAGGGAAAGTCACAGAGAGTGCAACAGCTTCCAGCCTGCGTTTTCTCTCCTCTCCTCTCCTCTCCTCTGCTCTCCTCTCCTCTCCTCTCCTCTCCTCTCCAACTCCCCTCCCCTCCCCTCCCTTCCCCTCCCCTCTCCTCTCTGCCTCTGGCTTTTCTGACAACCTGCTGTCCCCACAGACAGAGAGATGCCACAGGTGCCACCAGGTGCAGCAGCAGCAGCCTTCTACCTGCAGATTCTTCAGGCTTGACCCAGGCACCTGGACGTGCCTTGATTTCCTCAGCGCCTGCTAAGGTCTGACTGCTAAGTGCCTCAGCAGAGCTGGTTAAAGTAAGTGCTGCATTTTGAAGACTTTGTATGAGATAAAATCTTGCAGGACCTCATTAATTTCCTGTATACATATTTTGGGTTAAATAAAATGCATTAGTAAAATTTCATGTGTTTCTTTTTACCTTTTCATAAGGTGTTACATTTCCATAGGACAGCACAGCTCCAGAACACGAGGCCCACGGACACGTCTCATCCTTTGCTCAGCTTCCTGTCATCGGTCAGGACCAAATCACCCGCCGGAGTGGTAGCTGGAATTAGTCCGACACTTTGAAGAGGTCCTGGAACTGAGCTTCTTCTGGGCCTCCAAGCTTGGCTCAGACCTTGTATAGCACAGGAGAGAGACAGAAGTATAATAAGCTAAAAGATGTTTCACAAAGGAGGCAAAAACAAAACAAAACATAACAATGCATTCCACTCCCCTCCCCCAGGAGAAATGCTGTTGGGGATTTAAAATCTCCATATCCATGGCCACCTAAGATACAGCTTGTGTTTAGGGTGGCTGCTGTCTGAGCTTCTGAGAGTCACAGGGGGAACCTCAAAATTCTGGGCATCAAGAGTCCTTCTGAGTTGAAATAAAAAGAGGCTCAGGACATTTGTGTAAATGCTGACCTTAAGTGAGCAGAGACTGTGTGCGAATGGATTCCTCTGGGCGTGGAATACGGAGTTACAGCAGTTTGGGTGAAAGTCACCACATTAACTAGTACTTGTAGGGTCAAACTGAGGTACTTGTGAATAAGAACACAGCTGCCATGACTTCTGGGACTTTCTGCATTAACCAGTAAAGACTTCTTGTCCCATGGTGGTCGGGAAGGGTTCTGGGAATGGGACAGTAGGAGTGGGCCAGGGATGGCTTGAGACTTCCTAGTACTGTCCCTGGGGTCACAGTCAGTGACAGGCAAAGCAGGACCCTGATGGCCTAAGTGGAGGGAAAATAAATACAAGCCAGAGAAAACATTATGGAAAAGGACATTATGTCCTTGGGAGTGGTCTCAGTGTTCCCCGAGGTCACCACTCACTCATTTACCTCCTTAGGGGTCTTATTTTTTAAAATGTGGATAAAAGTGAAGGAGGAACTGGCCACCACGGTTGAGGGACAAGCCACTTGTGATGAATGGTAGCTCTTTGTGGAAAGTGCTTTACTTTACAGTTTTCAATGCACTTCCCTGAGGATTTCCGGCAAAAACCGTGCCCTTTACCCGTGCGTGTCAGCCTTTCTGCTCCTGTCTTCACCTGCCCCTTGCGGGTAACAGGAGTCACTCTGGGAAATAAATTCTTGGCCTGTGCTAACGTGTTACCATCAGAAACGAGAAGGGCAGGGCAGGTCTGTAGAAATAACCAGGCTGTTAATCTCACACACTTGGAAGATTTTTTGCAAACGCAAAGTTTAAACTATAAGAGTGGGCACCCCGGCACCAGGTCATCCGCCAATGTACCCTGTTGGTGGAGGGACTGTGCCTTCAGCTCACAGTACTTACCTGCCAGTCGTGGTTCCCTCCTCTCTTGTTTCTTCTTGGCTATGGCTGTAAAGTCTCGCCATGCAGGTATGCGTCCTGCATAGGATTAGAGAGCAGAAACATCTGGCTCCAGGACTGGATTTTAACTTGAGACAATTTGCAGTTTTGCCTTTTCTGTAAGAGAACGAAGAGAAAGAGACTCCATTGGATACTGGGCTTCCTTCATTTATTCTCTAATTCATTCATTTGTTTTTTCTGGTACTATAGATTGGACCCAGGACCTTTTCACTACATTCCCAGCCCTTTTTATTTTTATTTTAAGACATGGTCACACTAAATCACTAAGTCACCCAGGTTGGGCTTGAATTTGTGATCCTTCTGCCTCAGTTTCCCAGAGTGCTGGGGCTACAGGACTTTGTCACCATGTCTGCTTTTATAGCCTAGCATCAAATCCTTTTCGAATAGTATGTGCGCTATGTTCACACACAAACAAAACATTAGGATTTCCAGTTATATTTTTATCTCATTCCTTTTAATCTTGTTTTGAGCATACGTTTCCCACCATATCTAATATAGTTGTAAAAGTTCACAATCCCATATCCACAATCCTGGTGTCTAAATAGGTCTAAAAACCAGAAGATATTTTGTAATTCATTTGTGGATCAGCCTGCACCTACCTGAATGGGTGTCTGGCTGTTGACAACATTTACTTAAAGTAATTAGTGCAAATGACGAGAACAATGATACAGTTCTCTGTAGAAATCATGAAATGTTCTATTGTGTGCCGCAGTGCTACCCTCCCTACTGGGATATAATAGATAGGCTATGCAAGCACACCCTTACCTTGCTAAAGCTGGAGAAGTCAGAGGCATATTTTGTTCTAAGCCTGTGTGGGTATTTGGTTGGTCTTTTCTTTTCTTTATACGGGGTCACACTGTATTCCAAGCTGGCCTCAAACTTGCCATGTAGCCCACGCTGGCCTTGAACTCCAGGTGTGTGCCACCTGTCCTGTGGGCCTGTCTTAAGTCACCTTCTTATTGCAGGGACAAAATACCCAACACCCACAACCCAAAGGAGAGGTATATTTGGGCTCAGAGCTTTTAGAGCTTTCAGTCCACAGTGAACTGGCTCCAAGCAGAAACATCGTGGCAGAGGGGGCACGGCAAAGGACAACTGCTCACCTCGTGGTGACCAGGAAGTAGAGTGAGATGAGAGGAGCAGGAGAGGGAGATAAGCCTTCTGGGCCACGCACACACGCAGTGACCCACCCCTTCTAACCAGGCCTCATTTCCTAACAGTAAGGCAGCAGCGGACATCAGTGGATGAAGCCACTAATGAGTGCGGTACCCTCAGGAACAAGTCACCTTCTAGAAGCCCCACCTCTGAGCACAGGAGGCTTTTGGGGGCGTTCTAGATCTAAACCACAACAGGACCTGCAGTGGTACATAACGTATAAATAAACAGATAATTATTCATAGATGTAACTTACAGATAAATACAACAGCACATCCTGAGGGTGCGGCTCTGAGGTTTCTGTCACTGATAGGACTGTGTGGGCACCATGGTGACTGATGGCCTCCGTGAAACCCGGTCTCTTCCCTCACCGAGCAGGTCACAGCCGGCACTGAGCAGGGGACTTTTCCTGAGCATTCACTGAAATCCCACCTCAGGTAAAGACAGGTACAAAGAGGACAGATGTGAGGTGCAGACCATCCAGAGTAAGACAAAAAGATCAATGTGTCTTCATCAGGGAGTCCCACAGCCTGGAGCCTGACCAGACATTTCTTAGGATGGAGAACACACGGCTGAATTCTAGAAATTAGTATTAATTTTTAGTCAGGTAACATATTGTGATTTTACAACTAATGGAAGCAGCTACGTACATTTTGAATGTGTGCGTGTGTGTGTGTGTGTGTGTGTGTGTGTGTGTTTGTGAGAAAGAAAGGCAAACACAAAAATAAGCTTATAATTAAGAATTAGGTAGAGATTTCCAGTTTTCCCAACTGTCGTGATATAAGGGTAAAATCACTGTCACAAGAGGAACCAGAGGCTTAAAACCATGTGAACGAGTGGTACAGCATCACAGACATTTTTAGCAAGTTCTCCTCAGCCTGTTCACAAGTTGTCTTCATTTTTATTTCTTATTCAGGGCCTTAAAAACAAACTGGATACAATTCCGCAGGATTTTCCCCACAGATATTGTATTTGCTTTAGCGGCCAAGATGCAAAGGTCCAGTGGCTGGAGTCCTTTTTGCTATGGTGCCGGGACATCTGTCATGGTGTCTACACTGTGATAGCAGAGTGCCCCTGCAGCATTTGCTCCTAGAGTTTTTCTATCGGCTCTGGGGACACTGCGTGTCACTCTGACTCCAGTAAGTAATGCCAGCGGCACAGGTAGATGGATCTGACAGGCCGAGGACTAACAGCACCTCACCCGCCTTTCTCCAATGAAGGCTATACATCAGCACTCAGAATCTGCTGGAGCCGGAGAGGGTGACAAGGGAATAACATCCCTTTCTCTTCCATCGACAGGGGTAATAACTCCTCACTCCCTAGGGACAGATTGTAAAAGCCAATAGCCAGGAGCTGTGAAGCAGGGAGGCTAGAAGAATTGAAAATTAAAGAGGGAGTGGAAATTTTGCGTAAGGTTTTATAGTGAGATGGAATAAACTATCAGATGTCAGTCTTTTAATTGCCTCATTGTTGACATGGGGTTTTGCAAATGTTCATTTTGACTGCTTAATTTTTTAAAGAGATGGTTCAAAGTAATGTGCATTGCCTAAATGCAGGCTTCTGCTGTCTGTGTGTGTTTTCTTGGTGACTATTATAAAATGCCGCTACTTAATATCTGGAATTTTTTCAAGTCATTGTTGAAAAGTCCTTACACCAATATAGTTTAAAATATCCCTCTGAAGAAAAATGCAACGAATGCATTGGGCTGCTAAAATTGCTTAATTTGATGTCTTTATTTCCACTTGCATAGCTGTGTGGCTAAACGCGAAGGGACTGAGTTTATGCATATCATGTACAATGCTTTTCAACGGTTAATAAGAATTTCTATTTTCAAGCAACCTTCAAAACGACTTCTGTGCTCCATGGAAACAGCATCCCAGTGGCCACTGAGAGGAAACAGTTCTTAAAGTCCGCAGTGTTCATGAGAGGGCTGAGTTGGTGGCACTGCAGGGATAAAATGAGTTTGGGGACCCAAACATTGCTTTGAATTAGATATAGCACCATGAAAGACTGAACTTTTTAGAAAATCAAGCCTTTCAGAAACAGATGCCTTTGAACGCTGCCTGGTTTATAGGAAACACACTTATTTAGTTTTTAAACTAGGACTGGTGTTTAGTTAAATCTCCTCCGGACTCAGTTCACTGAAGGTGACAGAAGTACTCACTCGAGCTCAATGAGAAGTAGACGCGACAGTAAATTTTTCAGGCAGCGACAGGAGATCTTGTTATAGGAGTCAGAACGGGGGTCAGGGCAGAGCCTGTTGATGATTGAGGAAAAGAGAAGTAAATTCATTCTGCTTCAGGCTCTTTGTCAAGTGCCAGTAGCTTACCATTGAGAACTAGTCACCCGTTCTAGTCTTACGGCCATAGAGGTCACTCATTTGATATAAATCATAGCACCTCGGAGGCGCACCAACCTATTGCCGCTCGGGATGAAATAAAAAAGAGGAATGCTGCTTTCGGAATGGAAATGACTACGAATATCCCACCACATGTTGCTGTTTAATGCAATATGTGCTTAGATATTGATCTCCTGAATCAAGTCATTAAAATGTGCAGTTTTTGTTTATTGGAATGAAGCAATTAAATGGTTCAGTTATGCTAGACCTTACCTTTTCTGATGAAAACTATTGATTTCTTGCCACAGCTTTATAAGCGACAATGTTTTTGATTACTCTTGACAAACCTCCTTGGAGTGTTAATTAAAATTGTACCAGATGAGCAGGTGTGGGAGATCATTAGATCGCCCGGATCACACATCTACACTTCATATTCTGCAGCCTTGCATAATGAATAGGGCACAAGAGGGGAAAAACAATATCTTCATCAGCAGAATAGCATCTTCACTTTTTACAAAACTAGGTGACATTACATTTTATGCTATAGATGCTTTCGAATCATTGGCCTACTCCTACTGCTACATTCGATCAAAATTTGCGTTTTACATTTTGCTCTCGTTCCTTCAGTGCCTAATGAGCTGCTGGTTTTGTTCTGAGGTAGCAAATATTTAAACACATATTTATACAGAAAATTGAGGAATCAAATAAGGCTCTTCCCATGCTATGCAGATAAAGTCATGAATATTAATATGATTCCATTTAACACTTTGAAAACTCGCCTCAGCAACATAACCTCAACATGATTTTTAAAAATATTTTACTACTTATTTTCAGGACCTCCATGAAATACGATTATTTAGGAATATGCTTGTTTGTTGCCTTACAATTATATGTCTTTTAGGTGCCTCTTAGAAGATTATTGCGTTTGAAAATTTAAAATATTCTGTGATACTTTATAAAATAAGAGGCAAATAATGTTCAAGTTTTTGAAAAAGTAATGATCTTTCTATTGATGCTATTTATTATGAACTGTGATTTATTACTGTGTAACTATAGGCACCAAAGTGGACTTTTTCATTTTTGTATAAAGCGCAGAATTTAAATAATTGAAATTAGATTTTAAATCCTCTGTGATCTGCTGTCTACACATAGCAGGAAAGCGTGTATTTCTCGGATTCATAGGACCTGAAAAGAACTTTAAAAGGTCATCTAATCCAATCCCCTGCTGCCAAAGTAGCTGTTTAAAAATGCACTATTTTTCATTAGTCTGGAATTTTAAAAAGGATTAATGAATTTATAAATGTATTATTTACAATGTTCTGAGCATGTACATCTAACTGGAGCTAACTGTTAGACTTTGAAATGGTAAGACTGTATGTGTGTGTTTTAAAGTCTCATCTTCTCTTCAGATAATTTATGGTTTACAAAGTATTTCTCCATTTTT